AACCAACCCGACCCGCAACCCGTATAGCCCATAACTCGATTGACCTGCAACCCGATTGACCCACAATCCGATTAAAACCGTAACCCTATTCATCTGAATCCGACTAACCCGTAACCCCGTTGACCCAACCTGATCCCACCCGATTGATGTAAATAGTTACTATATTATATAACATATAGTCTTTCAAAATGAAGCTTTGGTTCTAAACCTACGTAAAGCCATTTTTCATTTCATAAAAATGAAGTTCGAAATCTGAAATTCACCTGTAATTATGTATTTTTTATAAGATTATAAATTTTCAAATATCGAGTTCACTTTAACATTGAACTCTTTAACAAGATAATGAAAAAATATTCATGTAATATATAATCAAGCATCCCTTATGATGATTTTTCCCCTTTCCTTTGTGTTTTTCCTTTTTCTAGCATGGAGTAGTCACCCTTTTCACTTGGATGTTGTAGAACCCTAACTTCTACCATGTAGTTGATTGTATGTGATGTTAATTTGAGATTTGAGGTATTTTTCATGGTGATTGTGCATTGTGTGTGCTTTCCAATATATTGTGTTATTCTAATCTAGCTTAGAGGGAAACCCCCTTTTTTATAGATGCTCAATTGAGCTGGGTTTTCTTGAGCATTACATGCCTCCTATCTAGGTTAATGTAGGGCAAATCTCCAAGCTCAAATTAAGCACTAAGGTTAGTTGTGATTAAGTCGTCCAAATCCCGGTTTGAGGGAGAAGGTAAGTCAACCCTCAATTGTCTATGCCAAGAGGGCTACTTTGGTAGTCTATAATGCATTCCTTGGCCTAGCAATTGAGAGAGTGGTATCTATCACTTGTTGCGCCGCCTAGCGGTTCACAATTGCCTCCTCCACATGATTTCATTCGATCCCATGGGTCATGGTAGTTAGTTAGGGAGATCAACTCTCAAGTGAAGCTTCTCACCAAGTGTTTAAATCCATTTACTTTTTGATTCGTTTTAATCGTAGATTATAGAGTTTTCACAAACATCAATCCGCTAGATAATATTTCAAGCAATCGAAGTAAGGGTACATGGGCCGGCCCGGGTCGATATTTAAACATATTTGCCCTATATTGCACTCATTTAAGATTTATACTTGGGATTTAAGTGTGATATTCGAGTTGAGTCATCTACCTATCCATAAAAAGGCAGAGGTAAGACTCAGAGAAGTTGAGCTTCCTCTTTACAAAATTCCATCCAAATCGTTAGATTCGCTAGAGGATTGTCGACGACAAGAAGGCTAATGGGGCGGACGGGTTTTACCAGCCCCACGCGGGACAAGTAATGGGGTGAAATTTGTCTACCCGTCCGTTCTTGAATACGAAACAGAGCGGGTCCAATATTTTAAGGTGACGGGACAGGACAAGTATCCGTCCGCCTCAAATCCATCCGTTGTCATCACTACTTGACGGTAAAAAATTTGATGTTGGGAGGTTTGAGCTCCAACAATTCCTCTAGGAAAGTCTAGTCTCCCATCACATTTAGATGTAATAACTGTGAAGTAATTTCTCATCCATGAGCATGAAGATGACCAGCTGATAGGTTATTTTTAGTACTTAATATTTTACATAGGGAAAGAATTACCGTATCGATGGAAAAAAAAGGTAAATGTCACATTTGGTCACTGAGATTATTAAATCGTGTTATGTTTAGTCATTAGAAAAATTTAATATCAATTTTTGGTCACTCGAATTACTGAAACATGTCATATTTGGCTATTCTCCTGCAGCCTCCGTCCAACTCCGGACACTCGAATTACTGAAACATGTCACATATTTAGTCACTCGAATTACTGAAAGATGTCACATTCAGTAATGGAGTTAGACGGAAACTAACGCGAGAGAGTGACTAAATGTGGCCGGTTTCAGTAATTCGAGTGATATAAATTTATATTAAATTTTTCTAGTGACTAAACATGACACGATTTAATAATCTCAGTGACCAAATGTGACATTCACCCACCCAAATTACAAGTTGGCCGGCCGGCGATTATTAGGGCGTGAAACGACCGGCGATTATTATGCAGTGCACAAGCAAGTACAAATATTGTACTTCCGACCACTGTCACGAGCACAGAAGCAACCCACCCAGCAATACCTAGGATCTGGATCAGGACCGCACATCCATGGGTAAGTCTCCTGACATCTCTTGTCGTTGCAAACATCATCGCAGTCGTCCTCTGCCCGCCGGGCCGTCTTGTTGTTCATCATCACCACACCTCTTCTTACTGGCAGGAAGGTCAAGTTCGTCGTAGTCGGAGCATTGTCGTCGACGACATTCTCCGGCTGGGGACTAACTATTCTGGATGCGCCCGCCGCATGCAAAACACCTGCAGCATACATGCATAAATAAATGTGATCATCATCAACACACCAACAATAGCTTGATCTAGTAGTGATAACACCACTAGTCTTGAAATTAAACTAAATATTACAGTTGTGAATCTGTACCTAAACTATAAAAATGTACTGTACATGAAAAGATGATGATGATAATTAGAAGAGGGACTGCAGCAGCCAACTTAGCAACACTACTACTAGCCATATGCTTGGCTCAGCTGATTACCTGCTTGCTTCTTTGTTTCCTTTCGGAAGTTGGTTAAATATATCAATGAAAATATATTCTTGGCATATATAGCATCGAGCACTTCTTGTTTCTATTTTCGTTGCTTCTCCGGGAGACACCAAAACCAATTACGATGACACCGTTTTTTCTCCTGTGAATAAATTCGGCAAAAATCATCTAAACACTAAAAAACAATAAACTATATTTTTCTTCATACCATTTATTTATTTAACTATATTTGTAGACAATAATTGGAAATGAATTAACCGACTGGCTGACACAAGCAGTAATAAATTTATGGGAGATCAAAAGAGAACTCAACCCGAGTAACACATCCGACCAATCCGACTTGTAATCCGATCGCAATCCAAATTGACCAAAACTAAATAGCCCATAACCTGCCCGATCTGCTAACCCGACTGGCCCATAATTCGATTGGCCAATAATCCGATTAAATCGGGAACCTTATTGACCCAAATCCAATTAAACTCATTGACCCGACCTGACCCCATCTTATTGACATAAATAATTACTATATTTTAATATATACCGTCTTTCAAAATGAAGCTTTTGGTTCTAAACCTACGTAAAGTGATTTTTCATTTCATAAAATGAAGTTATATGAAATTCACTTGCAATTATGTATTTTTAATAAGATTACAAAAAATAAGATATGGAGTTACTTGAACATTAAACTCTTTAACAAAATTATTGATAATTAATAATTAACAATGAATAATTTATGAACTATTTCTGAACTATTTCTGAAATATAGAATTATCACAATGACAATATTGATCATTTATAATTAAAAATCAATAATTTAAATACTCAACAAAGTTGTCAATTAAATATAAATAGAATAAAGTAATGTATTTGATAATTTGATTATGTTAAAAGAAGTGAGAAGTTTTCGTGTTTTTGAACTTTTTTGAAACCAAAAGAAGAGAAAATTTTGGTTTTCGGTGAGTTGCAGGTCATTATGCAGGATGGTTACACACCAAACATTCCACACCTGGTTGGTGCATTCGGTTTGCCTAGTCATTCATTTCATGGAGATGCCATAAACATGATAAAGTTTCAAAATCATCTATTGAAGAAGAGTGCAGGTCTATGTCTGAAGTAAGCTTAGAAATGGTATGACTTCGGCGTTTATTCCAAGAATCGGGAGTATCGTGTTAGGTACCTATAGTGATAAGTGGAGACAACATGAGCACGATGCAGATAGCCATGTATTCAGTTCTACATGATCGGATGAAACACTTTGAAGTCCACATACACTATATACGTTAGCTAGCATCCGAAGGTGTTATTCAGTTGCAATACTTGAGGACATAGAATCAAACAACAGATATATTAATGAAGGCAATGGTGTCAAGTGGACACTGGTATCTCTCTTTCAAATTGATGTTAAGAACTCAACATCAATTTTAGGGAGGGTGTTAATTGTAGGTACTATCTTGTAAATAGTCATTCAACTGTCACACGTATAACATTAGGATTTGGAGGCAAAACCCATATAAATATGTAGCCGAACTGTACAGAAGAATTAAGAAAATTAAAACCAAAAACTTGAGAGTAAGATCCTTTCCGTGGACTAGTGTCACATTGACAATACCACGCTAAAATATTTTTTATTACCCAGTAACCTTAGCCCCGCATGCCACTTTGTGAGAGCGGGGCCTACTAAACATGGCATGGGGGTCATTAGCATTCAAATCGACGCCAATGGGGCTTCGCCCTCAGCATCCTCATACCTAAGGGAACACCAAGGAGTCTCGCTTATATCAAACCTGGGATCTGTAACTCCCAAGCCTCTTCACTATCGCGGTAGCTTTACCGTTAGACTATCTTACCTTTGGTCACGTTAAAACATTCTTTTACATTCCTTTACGTTTCATATCACGAACAAGAGTTTGATATACTCACGTAGGTGTGGGCAGCCTCTTTGACATGAGTTGCCCTAATCCTTCTCATATTTGATCCGTTCTTACTTAAATCATATGCTATTTTACTCAAATTACTTAGGATTTAACATTTTAGCTACAATAAAGTTGTAAACAGGTGTGAGTTTCAATTTCTCGAATAATTTAATTACATTCATAATCTTATAGCACTACAAGAAAACATAGACTTCCTGACATTTTTATGGTGACGCTCATCACGGGTGTCGCTAAATGCGTAGGTTTTGACGGCAAATTTTGCCCGTCCATCGGCCGTCGATAAATTTATCCTATCTCCGGATTTTTATCATTTTTTATTCCTTTTTTCTTTTATGTTTTATATAAAAAGTAGTGACTCTGGAGTTTCTCTCTCCTCATATATCCTCCCTTCGATTCTTTCATTAAAGAAAGGAACTCATTTCCCGTAAAATTCCTCCAGACCTAATCCTCACTCTGTATCGTCATCGCTTCGCAATCTCTCTGCAGTGACCTCCGCCGGCGAGGATCTCCCTGATGCCAAGCTCCCCTGCCTCGACGTCTACAACGCACGGTTTTTTTGAATTTGAAGAAAAGGGCTCCCAGATTCAGTCAATCCAAAAAACCGGAGCCAGCCTCCTCCAAATCGTTCGCATGCGACTCCGAAAAAATCCAAGAGGTTCGTTCGCTGCTTTGAATGGCTTCTCGCTAGCTACTTCTAACAGGACCAACTGCATTCCCGGAAGAGATCTGCTGGCGGTGGAAGGAGATTCAGCAGGCCAAGGATTTCAATCTCCAACCCCCTCGATCTATTTGTGAAATTCGTCAAGGAGGTCTTCTTCCCCAGTGGCGGCCTCCGATTCCTTCCGTATTCGGTTTTCCCGATCGAGTACCAAGTGAGCAAAATCTTCCTCTTTCTACGGTTTAAAATCAAATTCTTGCATATCTTGTGGATTTAGGGTGATTTAGGGTGGTGCTAGGGTTCGATACCAAAATTGGGGGTTTTTCAATTTTGGTGGAATTCGACCTTTCTCCTTTCTCCTTCCACTTGGAACTGCGGATAAGCAGATAGGCTTTTTTAGCTCTTAGCAATCGTTAATCCATGAGGGAATCAGACTCTGGGTTTTCTACATTTCAATTGCAAATTGTAGAATTAGAACACACCTCTCGTTTAATCTTGCCTAATGAAGGTGATTAAGAAAAACGGAAGCCCGACTTCACCTAAGCCTCCAGCTATTTTAAATTGCTTTTGATACTTCCATTTGGTGATTGGATTCATCAACTAACCCCGTCTTCTCTTGATTTACTTTGTTTTCTGTTTTCCCCTTGCTCTGCAGTGGCGAAGCAGCTCAGTGCATGCTAGAAGTAGTGGATTATGAGATTGCTGATATTATTGAGCATGAAAAAGCTCGTCAATGGAAGGTACATTTATTGCTTTGCTCATTCGGCGTTACAACAATATTTGAGTAGATTTTGATGCTAGTTTGTTTGAAAGTTAATCAGTATGAACTCTTTGAGATCATAAATGCACATGAGTTGTATCTTTAATCCGTATGGCAAATGCTCAATCAATTGAGTTTTGCAATCAACTTATGTTATCAATGTGAAGCCTCTATCATTGAAAAATAAAAAAATTTAATGAAAAATAAAAAAATTTGTTTCTTGATTTTCTTAATGAAAAATAAAAAAATTTAATGTTTTATATTTAAATTACATATCTATTGTATATGGGTTGACATGCCTCGCGTCTCGTACCCTATAATAAATTACCTGATCCGAACCTGATTTGCCACAAAAATAAGTATGAATATCGAAATACGCGCCAAACATTACAATTCTTACTAAATAGTCCACTAATAGACAAGGTCACCAAATGCTCGACCGGATTATATAACCAATTTTAGACGGCGCAAAACAAAACAGAATCTTAGCAATATTGTTTCAATGTTTTTTTTTTTTAGAACTTTCACTGTTTTTTATTACAATATGTAGTGATATAATAATAAAAAAATTGAGTAATTTACGTCACCAAAACTATAGGAGGCAGAGAATATTCCTAGGAGAAGATAAGGTTGTCGTCATTGGAATGGGTTTTGGTCGATCGATCACGAAGAAGCCAAGGAAAATAGAAACAAGAAGTGCGATGCTATGCCAAGAATCCACCCGAGAATAGAAATTCGTTGATATTACTCATTTAGTTCATTAATTGTTACTATAAATACGTAGCAGCAGTGCACTCTCTGCATATAACCAACTTCCAAAAAGAAAGGAAGAAGAATAAACCAAGATTTCCATATTTACCAGTAATTTTTTCAAATAATGGGTATTTCCATAATTACTGCAGAAATAAAAGTTTTTGAGGAAAAAGAAGAATTAAATTCCGCTGCCGGGACCCGAACCCGGAGTTCCCTTTCGAGGAACGATTAGTTGATTTCAATTGTTTACCAGCTACAGCGGATTTGCTGATCTGAGTTTGCAATCAACCTTAGTTATATTAAGTTAATTAGCAGTAAATAGTAATTTTCTATGATAAATTAACCAAGATGTCTGTATTTACCAGTAATCTTTTCAAACAATGGGTATTTAATTTATGAACAGAAGCAGTTTCAAAAAAGTTTTAGAGAACGTAGTTCCGCTGCCGGGACTCGAACCCGCAGTTTCCTTTTGAGGAACGATTAATTGATTTCAAATTTTACCAGCTACAGCGGATTTGTTGATCCCTGTTTGCAATCAACGCTATATGTATTAATTATATATATATATATATATATAGCTAATATGTTCATAAAATAAAAGAGGTATTCGTTTTTCTGACCTCATATGCTACCTAGACAATAGAAGATCCTCATGCATTTATCGTATAGTTAATTTTTGATATTATAATCAAGCATTCTAGAAAATTCAAAACTTACCACAATTTTTCGGAAGCATACCAAAATATTTATAAACTTACTACAAGTATATATCATAAAGGAGAGTAGTAAATTCAGACCAAACCAAAATACGGAAAAATCACACCACGAAACTCATAGACCGAACCAAAAACCTAACACAACAGAGGAGTAGTATAGAAAGCACACCATAAATCTGACCAGAAATTTGAAGTGTCATAACAAACTTACCACAATTTTTCGGAAGCATACCAAAATATTTATAAACTTACTACAAGTATATATCATAAAGGAGAGTAGTAAATTCAGACCAAACCAAAATACGGAAAAATCACACCACGAAACTCATAGACCGAACCAAAAACCTAACACAACAGAGGAGTAGTATAGAAAGCACACCATAAATCTGACCAGAAATTTGAAGTGTCATACCGCAATGCACAACATATTCGATTTGGAAAGGATTAGATTAATTAATGTTGATGTGACGACATTTCTATACTCAAATCAATAAAATACAATTTTATCCCTTTATCAAATTCAATTCACTAGTAATATCCTTATAAAATCAACCGCGCTCGGTTACAAAAGGCTCTAATACTATGTCATCAAGATCCAGTTGGTCCGAGTAATTCGAGTTGTTGAGAGAGATTCGATTATAAATCTCATATCCTTTACTGACAGGAATATATATAATATATATGTTGGCGATATTTCTATTAAAATTTATTAAAATACAATTTTACCTTCATATAAAAAAAGTTGGGTTATGTGCGGTGGGGTTTCTATCAAGAACAAGTTGATCCCAATAACTCGAGTTGTTGGGAGAGGTTCAATCGTGGATCATATACCGTTTACTAACACACCACCTCAAACTCAAGCCACTCAGATAGGCTTGGAGTTTGCACAGGCATAGGTCCGGACACCATGTGCTTAACAGAAACAAATGGGGGGTCATCGGGATTCGAACAAGACTTCTTTTGGTCACAGAAGGCTCAAATACCATATCAAGTTTACGAAACATAACGAAATCGACACAAGATTTACGTGATTTCCTCATGCGGTATGAACGAGACTAATCCACGGCCGAAGCGTACAATATTCTTATTATCATCGTAACCTCGGAGGCTACAAATATATACATAATACATAAGCCTTAACCCTAAGGGTTTCGGCTATCTCTACCAGTGTTATATGCATGGGCCACATGCACGTCCCGTACATGGGCTTAAACCCCTAACTACATTACGTCAATTACATAACTTAACAGTTTCTCCATTCAATTACTATTCACCCTTATATTAAAAAAATCATATTTGGAAAGGGTTATAGGAAGTAGAATCAATCTTAATAACCTTTTTGTAATTGTCCTGCAATACCAAGGAGTTCATCATAATAACTCAAACTCTTTGCTAAAATGGTTAGAAAAATGAGTTTTTCTCAGGATAAGACGGGCATCTTTTGCAGCTACAAACCGGCCAAAGCACATAAAGTTATATTTCCACTCTTTGCCTCTTGCATTAGGTTGTTTCTGTATGTTAAATATTTCGAGCTTAAATTCCAGTGCACTCGAGACAAGAAGATACTGGACATTCAACAAATTCATCATCCCAAAAACACTCACCAACATCACAAATTACAAGGGGATGAAGCCGGCCGGCTCACGCAACGTCGTCGGCCGTGCGTCACCATTATAGCGGCCCACACGGTGGTTTCAACGACGGTGATCGATGAAGCACTCGTCGTCATCGCCAACTCCCACGGTCTTCATACTCTCACGATGACGACCAAGAAGAAAACGTCCCACACCCACCGGGCTTTTGCCGTCGACGTTAACGACATATGAGATATAATCCAATATGCTCTATAAATATAGCAAGTGCACGAAATGTGCTAATGATGAGGTCATCAAAACCAACTCCACAACATTAGAAAATGGTCAAATTACACGTTTAAAGTAGGGGTGGCTATACGGTCCGGTTAAATTGGATCAAATTGATCTGATCCCAGTTCGGTCTTTTCGTGAATATAAGGACCAAAGATTGGATTGGATACACTCCGGACTTGATCTGGTCCGGTCTTGACCCGGTCCGATCCCAATTTGATATTGATTTTAGATTGAGCTTGTGGGGATTTGAGTGTTGGGGTCTCTTATCCGGTCTTTATCCGGGTATTTTTACCTCAAATCTAAGCCCGAATATGAGATTGGATTGTTTGCTATCCGGTCCCAGTTCGGTCCCGATCCGGGTTATATGGTCCGATTTCGGGTAAAACCAAACAGTCTTGGACCAAATTGCCAGCCCTAGTTTAAAGGCTAATTAAGAAGCTAACTGAGGAATTTGCACATTACTTGTATTGTTATAAACGAGGAAAAAGTTTGAACTAGTGTTATTGAATGGATAACGAGATTATACTATCTCTTCACAAATGGGGTCCTTACTAAGAATTTGCGTCGTAGTATATTAACTTGTCGAATGTAATTGCAGTACCAATGAACCCCAATCCCTAACCAAAAAAAAAAGTACTTTAGAGACGGAAATTAGCGACAGGATAAATTTTCGTCGCTAAAAGTTTATTATTTGCGACAAGAATGATAATCCTAAATCCTTCGCTTATTGGTACATATTTTCCTGCGAGATGGGTAAGTCCTTTTTTGACGACGACCAAATATTATTTGCGACAAAATGTTTCGTCGCAATACATTTGCTAAGATTTAGCGACCAAATTATTACTACATGATATAAACGAGTAAACAATCGTACGAAACTCGATCTCGATCTTAATCTTAATCACACCATCATTTTATTCACTCAGTACGTACACACCACCGATCAAACAGCAGCTGGTACGTACCATCACTTTATTCCTGATAGATCGCGTACACATACGACTTTCTCTTCTATTACATCGACTCTAAACCTCTCGATTATTCTCTCGCATACCTAAAACGTGTTTAGGTACGCGTACGCATAAACTATCCCACACACATTACCACGAGATCAACCCTTTTTCGAAATCCACTTGCATGCGTAGCCAACTAATTAATAAGCTTAGTCAGCTTAATTATTAATTACTTCAATTTCTTTTCAGCACAAGGTGTATGCGCAAGAACCACAGATGCATTGGGACAACCGGCAGCAGCCTCCATCGGGGCAGTCATTGCAATCGCTATCTGTCGAGCAAAGTGGCTCGTCCCCACAGAAACTGTCATTGATCTCGTCATTATTATGATCAGAAGGAAGGGCGCCGGCGCCGTAGTATGAGCCGCTCCGGTAGGTGGTGGTCGCCGTCGTAGCTCCATGAGAGTACTTGACGACGGTGACGTTGAAACCAGCAGCGGCTGTTGGCGACGACGTCGTACCTGTATATACATATACATAGACAGCGAGTAGGTACGTGGAGAGAAAGATTGAAGAACTTATATAAAGTAGTAATTAAAGGGAAGCTTAATTACATGGAAGGAGAAGCAACATTATTATTGGAAGCAAGATCATCGCCATTATTGCCAACTTTGCCATCTTTTAGTAATTAAAAAAAAACAATTTTCTTTCTATAGCTGGACTTAGCTTTGATCTTGAAGAATGATGAGCAGCTCCAGCCTCCATACTTATAGGGTTTTGTTCAGTGAGAGATGTTTGTGGGATCGTGATCTCTTGTGTTTGGTGGATATAATACTTCTCTCTATAGGGACAAAATTCATCTAAACTTATTTAATACAACTTCAGAAATTCAATCTGATTAATGACTATTATATCCGTCGGATGATTGGAGGGGATGTGCAACATGTTCGGGGTGGCGCTATTTTGGAGGACATCCGGAGCTTGACATCTTCGTTTCACAGTGTTTCCTTCTGTTTTGTGTCCCGTCACCTTAATAGGGTTGTCCATCATGTGGCACAAAAGGTCCTCTCATCGGGAGTTCGACTATTGTTCGACTCCCGCACTTTTCTGTCTTCCAGTTTGTGACTTTTGATTAATACTCTGACTTTGGGGGAAAAATGACTATTATAGGACAAATTAATGTGTGACTATGTATACGTCGAAAACAACATCATCGTCTTTTTTTCTTTTTGTGAGAACATCATCATCTTTTATTAGTACGTAAAGATTTCTTTGATAGAAGATTCGTGTAAATTTAGCTTTGATAGAGGCCGAAGCGTATTGATGTAAAAGATCAATCGTGTTTTAAAAAACTCTTTTGGTTCATAATCGATTATGTAAAAAATAAATCGATAAATTTTCTTACCACCCATAGAATCATAGGACACCAAACTGTTATGGAAACACCATGGAAAATATTCTGCCGCCTATAGTATCAGGGGAACGGATCAGGTCAGTAACCTTATGGTGAGTAACTATGAGTAACCAGCTCACATCAGCATGACATCAGCATCCTCTCTCTCCTGAAAAGCCTTTAATGTTCCCTTTTTAATCTTTGACGGACGATTTCTTACTCATTTTAAGTCGAATTTTTTTTTTCACAGTTAGATCAGATTAATTGTGCTCGTCAAAATGATATCCACTTTAATATATTTTTCGAACAAAAAAATTGAGCCATTTTTTACCAGTCTATACCATATGGTATTGACTGGTATTGAAATAAAAGCATACCTATGGTTTGAAAAATGTACCATGGTGGTATGAACAAAACAAGACTGTAGGATGGTTGAATACATGATAGTAGAAGTATATTAATTGTCATTTACGACTTTTAACATTGTATACTACACAATACCACCCCGTACCAGGGTGGTATTGTATGGTATTGTGTGGTATTTTTTGGTCCTGTAATTTGTTCACCCATAAATTTTTAGATCCAATAGATCATGATGAACTCGTCCTTTCTGTGCAAACGTTTTCAAAAACGAATTAAAAACGAAGAAGATACCATACAATACCACCCCGTACCAGGGCGGTATTGTATGGTTTTGTGTGGTATTTTTTGGTCCTGTAATTTGTTCACCCAGAAATTTGTAGATCCAATAGATCATGATGAACTCGTCCCTTCTGTGCAAACTTTTTCAAAAACGAATTAAAAACGAAGAAGATACCATATGGTATGCAGTTGGTACCGAGAGGCCAGAATTTTTTTTTCTAAAAAAATATTGAAAATTGTTCTCATTTGGTAGAGCACGATGAACTTGTTCCATCTGTGCAAAAAAAAATTAAAATCCGAGTTAAAACGAAAAAGATATGAGACGATTAAGAAAGCTAGGAAACATAAAATTGGTCCTTAATTTTCCATCCTTAGATCTGGATTTTCTAAATGAAGGGTCCAGATTTGGTTATTGATGGATGCATAACCCATGGTTATGCACCCTATCTTGAGCCTAGTATCGGTGCCGTAAATTACTCAAATTTGGATATCATTATATATATTGTAATCAAAACAGTGAAACCTTAATTGCTGAGATTCTGTTTTGTCTTCGCCGTCTAAAGTTGGGCTTATGTGGTCCGGTCGAGCATTTGGTACCCTTGTCTGTTAGTGAACCCATCAGAAGGATAAAACAATGAGACGTACGTCCGTTGTTTTGCTGACAATATTACAACAATTGTGGAGGCAGGAAGCAGAAAAAGGGCATCTAATTCGTAATTCTCGGATATGTAGTAGTGGATCAGGTTTCTATTGGTGATAACTTATAAATTTGCTATGACATGAAGTTGGATTATATGTCGTTTAATGAAATCGGTTTCTCTTTCTCCTGTTTGTGACGAATTATTAGCTAGCACGCATCGTGTTAGTGAATTACATAAATCTGTGTATGTATTCTTCACTTTCTTGCATCATGTGGAGCTCTTGGGATTGCTTGACGTGAACCCCATTGGGTCAATGATTTGTGGGTCATAACTCTCTCACATGTCCATGTTTATGTAGGTAATTTTAGATTTATACATAGGTCTCACGATCACAACTTTGTAACTTTGATGCGTGATAATATGTAAAAATGTTGCTTGTATATGGCGTCTCTTTACGAGCATGGAATAGAGTTGAAATAGTGAGCCAAGAGAGTGAACTTGTGTATATTTAACTTTCAAAGAGTTTGAAGTGTCGATGTAAGAGATCAATCATGTTTTAGAGAGGGCTCTTTTGGTTCATCAGTTATATAATAAATAAATAAATAAATAAAAGATGGATAAATCAATTACCACAGCCTAGAAATCATTGGACACAAAACTCTTCTGTATTTCTGCCAACAACTAAGGTTTTGGATCAGGGTGCTCAATGGACTGTAACCATCTCTCAGCTTAGAACAGCCAATTTATTACTACTTTGTGTTGAGGGTACGATTAGTAGTGTAAGGGTAATTTAGTATTTTGTTATGATAGTATATAGATGACAATTTCACACGAATACATAAGTATTCTATTTACCAATTCAATTGGGTTGGGTATGAAACTAAAAATCAAGATAAATGGATAGTGTTTGATGAGTTTATAACTATACCAATTTACTTGAGTTGGGTTTTTAATCCATCGATTTGGGTTTGTAATTGATGACTTTATACAGATACATAAACTTAATATATTTTTAAATTTAGTACCTTTTTGCATATAAGTCTTCAAAATCTCGATGTAAAATTACATTTTTAGATCCAATTTTTAAGTTATACAAATAGATCCAATTTTGTATGTGTAGTTAAAACAATCTCAAGTAAATGGGCATCCATATCCAAGCTATGTCCATTAAGAATATGGAAGCAATACATGACATAGTCTACCCAAACTCATATAGACTTCACCCGTACCTAACCAATAATCAATAGGTTTAGTTGGGTTTAGGTAAAATTACACATGGATAGGTAATTGTCATCTCTAGTAAAGGATATTAATGAAAAAACCTATCAAAATATCATCAGAATTATCTCTCTTCTCTCCCATCTCGATCTTCTAGCTAGAAGCCCTAATCCCCAATTATAAATCCACCCAATTCTCTGGATCTCAATCGATATAAATCTCTTTCTAAACTCTATCGTGTTACTTTAATCTCGGGCGCCAAAATTCCATCTTGCAATAATTCGTGATCAACTATTATTGAGATTTCGACTGATATATATATATATATGCGTGCTTAGTAACTGATGGCAATTTATTTTTGTTTTTTTTTTCAGAATACTTGTGCTGGCTGTGCTGCTGCATAATCACCTTAGGCTTTGGGGACTGTTGTATGCAACATGATTGAATTGATCGAACACTCACGGAGAAGCAGGCCACACTATAAGCATTACACATGATCAGTGTTAAAAGTGGGTCATTTGCACCACCTTGCCTCAAGAAATGTGGAGTAAATTTATTTATGTGATTGTTGATTGAACACAATATGTCAATATTAATTGCTGTCGATACTTTTACAAAAAATAATGTTTTGGGTTGTCTATTTAACTTTTAGTTCATATATTATGTAAGTGAGTTTGATATAAACAAAATCTCTAAATTTAGGGTCGTTTCTTGCTATCTGTTGTCTTTCTAAGTGTTGAAACAACATACTGCAATAAGCAATGTAAAGAAATAATTCGTAACAATATGAGTTGTGGAATTATGAATGAATTTTCGTTATGGTATCTTAACATCACTCATAATTTGTATGATGAATGGATTTTAGAAAATTTTACATCCTAATAAATGCATAATATTTTTTTCTACCGTTTAACCCCGCCTATGATGAATTTTTGGTTACACCACTACCACGGATTATTTCCAGAAGCTATCGTTTCGTTGCGTAAGATGGTCTAAAATAGTGTTTCTGATCCCATGCATGCAGAGTACGTACAGCAGTTAAAATCATACACGTACCTAGCTTATCCCAAGCGGCAATACTATAAAATTAAAATGCGTATACGCTACATATAGTTTATCTCATTTATATAAAGACGAATACATCTCAATTGTTTTACGAATATATTAGTTACAGCTACTCATATTGTAAAAAATTATGAAAGAAATTATTGATGGCAAAAATTATTTACCGCCAGTCAAACTTATAATAACCTTTGATTGCATAATTGCATCAACAAAATCCGCTGTAGCTGGTAAAAATTGATACAAACCAATCGTTCCCTGACCGGGAACTCCGGGTTCGAGTTCCGGCAGCGGAATTAAGCTTTTTTTTTTTTTTTTTTGTTTCCTCCAAAATTGTTTTTACTGCTTTTGTCGGTTCATTGATTCCCCATTGTTTCATTGATACGGTGGGAATGAGAACGCAGAATAAAAGCAGAGTCTCTCGTTGGAGGCCAATACTACGGTGCCGCTATAAAAAGTGCGGCACCGGTAACGCAAAATCTTATTGGTCCACGTGGAATTGATGTGGCATGGACTGTCTCTATTTAATTCGAGCCCACTCATTAGAGCTGGTCCGAACTGTAACCTAACCAAACGGACGGAATTCTTTCCGTCTCCTGCAATTAATGTATTTGTTTTTCCCCACTAGTTCTCGCCAGAAACCAAGGAAAACGAAG